AGGGACACGTAGATGCTGGGAGCCTGGAGGGGGTGTCAGGGCCTGGGGGCATGGGGATGTAGTGAGGGATGGGGGTGGTGGCCCCCATGGGACGTGCACAGAGGCTGAGTCCCAGAGCCTAATGGCCCAGGGGGCCAAGCGCCCCAATGCCACACAAGGGACACGTGCCAGGCGCACACTGCTCCAGTGGAACGTGCTGCCCCCGCGCTGCCTCGCTGCCCGTGTGTGGTGAGGGAGATTGCAGAGCGGGGGGTGCCTGCAGCAAGGGATAGTTTGCAGCGGCGCCATGGGACGTGCACAGAGGCTGAGTCCCAGAGCCTAATGGCCCAGGGGGCCAAGCGCCCCAATGCCACACAAGGGACACGTGCCAGGCGCACACTGCTCCAGTGGAACGTGCTGCCCCCGCGCTGCCTCGCTGCCCGTGTGTGGTGAGGGAGATTGCAGAGCGGGGGGTGCCTGCAGCAAGGGATAGTTTGCAGCGGCGGAGGGGGCACTGCTGGAGGGTGCTGGGCACAGCGAGGACCCCTTTGCTGGCTCAGTGTCGGGGAACGGACTGTACTGCATGCTGAACGTGTTGTGCCATGCATGCATGTCATGCCGCACGCACATGCCATGCTGTGGATGTTGTGCCATGCATGCATGCTGTGCCGCATGCGTGTGCTGTGCTGCGTGTGCATGCCTTGATGTGAATGCGTGCCATGCTGTGCATGCACGAGTGCCACGATGCACGTGTGAGCTGTGCCATGTGTGCACGGTCGCATCAACACAGCCCTCCCCTTGGCCCCGCTGTGGCTGCTGCCCAGGGCGGGCTGCCAGCCCCAGCCTGGCAATGCTGTGGCACTTCCCACCTCCCCTGCATGTTGGCAAAACGCTGCCGGCAAAGTTGGGAAACAGAGCCAGCCCCGCGGGCCCATCTGCTGGCACGTGCAGCTGCTGTGCCAAGTGCGCAGTCAGGCACGAGCTGCTTTGACATGAAGTGCTGCCAGGGCATGCGATGGTGAGTGGTGCCACGGTGCTGGCCCCTCCACGCAGCGGGCTCATCCTCGTCCCTGTGCCACCCAGGCTGCATGGGCCCCCCAGCCGCAAGCCCCACACACACACACACACACGTGTGTGTGCGCGCCCCTGCCCGCAGCGCACCAACACATGCACACACGCGTGTGCGCCCCGGCCCAGCACACAACCTCGTGCACACATGTGGATCCATTGCACTGGACAGCCACCCCACTCACCAGGCTCCTGCCCGCCGCCCATGCCGCTGCTGCCCTGCTCACGCTGCACACGTGGCTCCTATCTGCAGCTCGGCACGCTTACGTGCACATGTGGCTGGGGGGGGCGGCGGCAGCCATTGCCAGAGGAAATGGCTTGCAGATTCCCTCTTTCCCCGCTCCATTCCTGGCTGATGGTGCTTTTCCCCAGAAGGTCAGGGTTGGCCGGAGCAGCTGGGAGCCTCCATGGGGCTGCGCTCTGGCCTCCTCATCCCAGTCTCTCCAGCTGTGGCCACCATGGTGGTTCCTGGGTGGTTGCAGGGGACAACCAGGGGCTGGAGCTGGGACATGCTCTGTGTGAGGGGTGCATGTGTGCCTGCGCACGTGTGTGACTGTGTGAGCATGCTGGTGTGCATGCCTGCACATATATGGGCACACGCATGCCTGTGCACATGCATGTCTGTGCATGGGCCTGCACACCCGTGCATGTGTTTGCACATGTGTGTGCATATGCGCGTGTGCATGCCCATGCAAGTGTGCACATGTGGGTGACACTGGGGGCATTGTGGGATGCTGCACTGGGCCCCTGCCTGCCTGGGTGCCCATGTTTGCCATGGGGAGCTCCATGTGGGCCGGGGCTGGAACTGGAGCGGTGCCAGGCGCGGAGGAGGCTGCGTTCCGTCGGGGTCCCCAGAGCCCAGCGTGGGGTGGTGCGCGTGTGCATGCCCATGCAAGTGTGCACATGTGGGTGACACTGGGGGCATTGTGGGATGCTGCACTGGGCCCCTGCCTGCCTGGGTGCCCATGTTTGCCATGGGGAGCTCCATGTGGGCCGGGGCTGGAACTGGAGCGGTGCCAGGCGCGGAGGAGGCTGCGTTCCGTCGGGGTCCCCAGAGCCCAGCGTGGGGTGGGACAGCCGCTCCCACCTTTCCGGAGCACTGTATGGCAATGGGCAGCATGTCCCATCCATGGCGACATCCCCAGGACAGAGAGCATTGGGTGGCTCTGGCAGGTCTGTCCCTTCTGTGACGACATCCCCAGGGTGGCCATGGGCTGCGTGTCCCCTTCATGGCAGGTCCCTGTCCCCATGGCGCTCATGGAGGGCACGGAGCCGGCGGCCTTTCTGCAAGTCCCTTTATTCCCCTCCCCAAAGTGCCCAGCTCGGAGCCCCCGGCCCCCCCAGGCTGTCTGCACTGAGCCGAGCAGAGCCGAGCTGGGCACAGGGCAGCCGGGGGGCCTGGCGACCAGGGCGGGCACACACGGGCTCGGAGCCCCCGCTGCGGCTGGGGGGCCGGGGGTGTCGAGGAGGCGGCTCCTGCCCGTGGTCGCTGTTTGCGTTGCGTGTGTCCCCCTTGCACGATGGCACCGCAGCACCGTGGGGGGCAGCCCGCTCGGGGGTGGTTTTTCCCTTTTTCCTTATTTACAAAAGTCGTGGTGCCCCCCCCAGGCTGGAAAGCAATGGAAAAAGAGGCGGGGGCGCCCCCACCGCGTCCCGCTCCTCCCACGCGATGAGGGTGGCCGTGGCGCTGCGGGGGGGCTCCGCGGTCCCCGGCGGCTCCCCCGGCGTGGGGGGGCGGGGGGGGGGGGAGCGGGGGGCG